TTATAAAATAGTTGTTCAATTTGAACCCTCCAAATTTTAATATGTACTCCAGTTTTTCTTTATTTTATAACGAAATCTACTTTATTATGTTGTAATGTCTATCTTTAAAAGTTAATTTCTTATTTCTTTTATAATACTAGCTAAAATCCTGGCCCCAACACTAGCCATCAATATTTCCAAAGGTTAAGTCTCTGTCCACCCTACTCTCCCAGTGTCTTGTCTTGGCAGAACTAGTAACTGGGTAATGGCTTTTTCTTTGTAATTCTGAAATCAGTAAGCTATGAAAATATATATATCATCCTTTTTTTCTTTCAATTTTTCCTTTTCTTCTTCTTCTTCGTTGTTTTTTTTTTTTTCCTGAGTGGGTGTTGGCGAGGAGAAGGCATCTACTGCACATGAGATATTGACTTGAATATACTACTAAAATATATTGCAACAGAAGACTACAGATAAGGGACAGTATGTGTTGCATTTCTAAGCTTTGTAGGGTTTATGAAGAGCAGAGTCAGAAATCCTTCACAGAGTGGACATTTTCCCTACTCAAACGCTTGTGACAAGCTTCATTTTTACTAATTTTTTTGAGCCGACATACTTTATCAAGCATAGATGGGGGATGGTGATTCTTGTACACTGCAAACAGAAACAACTGCAGTTACATTTAAGTCCATTTTAATCCAGGTATCCTGAGAAGTTGTTATATCACTTTAGACATACTTAACAATGCATCATTTTTATGTTTTTACTGTATTAGTTTTAATAGCTTCTCTACATGCATGAAAGTCAATAGGACAAGAAGAATAACATGCCCGACAAAAACATTTCAAAGAGAGGCAGAAAACAGTGGAACAAAGAATTGCAAAGTCAAGATACAACTAGGGTTGTTAAAATTAGGATCCTAGATTGGGTCATTGGAGGCTTTTACAAGATCAGATCGAGGATTGTAAGATCTTACTAAACAAAATGCCTAAAAATTTATGTTTGAATAAATATTTCTTAAAAGTAGACACACAATAAGAATAATTACACAAAAATAAGTGAAACTACCAAACTAGATTAAGTCTTGTGTCCTAATCAGGTGGAGTCGGCTACATGAATCCTTATTCGTCATTACACTCTATAAAGGGCTATATGCTCTATCAAATTATATAATTTCGTATTCTTTGTACTACCGCATCTCATGTGAATTAAGGTCTTCCCCTCCCCTTAACATTTATTTCTGGCAATTATATCACTCTTTCTTACCATTGCATGTATTGGTTTCGTTGTACATGACCAATTGTCTAAAGCTTGTTCTCACTCAACATATGTTCAATTGATGCTACTATTACCATTCCACAAATATATTCAATTTTAATCTTATCTTTTCCAGTCTTACCACACATTCATCTAAACATCCTCATCTTAGGCTCTTAACTACGCTCATTTGGCAATAAATTAAAAACTCAAAAGAGAGAGAGAGAGAGAGAGAGAGAGAGAGAGAGAGAGAAAAGAAAACAAGAGCTTTATATATGTATATATATTATATAGTACATAATCTCATTTTGAAGTGGTAGTAAATAGAGAGAAAATAAGAAATAGAGAGAGATAGTTCGATGTTTGACGCATTAAAAGAAAAGAAGATCCATGTATTGTGAAAAGAATAATGCTATATGCACCAGTTAGTGTACTAAGTAGCGTACCAATTGATGATATGACATAATTTAAGATATTTTTGATATTTATAATTTGTATAATGAGTGGGGTCAATAATAATGTTATAACTAGTGTTAGTACATTAGTTAGTATACTAATTAGTACATGTAGCATCACTCTTGTGAAAATTGAACAATAGATCTATATTTTAGTGCACAAAATGCAATAAATAAAAGACGAAAGTGGAACATAAATAGAGAAAAAGGGATTCTTTACAACATCAAAAAGAAAGAACCGAACAAATTAATAGATCTCTGGCTATTTGGTTAAATGGAGAAAATGAAAAAGAAAATGGTATTGAATGATCGGCGATGCAACGAGAGAGAGAGAGAGGGAGGGAGAGAGAGAGAGAAACAAATTTAGAGAGTGGAGTGGGTTAAGGACAGAGAATCAGAGATGGAGATGCTCAAATTGTACTGGCATTCCTTCGACTCTAACTTTCCCCATTTAAGGCAATGTTTGATTGCACCCCTTTTTTTTATAAGTAATGTTCGAGTGTGTACTGCCCTAATTTGTTTTTTGAAGCCTATTTGGTTCAATATGGTTTATAAGCCTTGTATATTTATTTTGCTTGGATGTTTAAACATTGCATAAAATGGTTAGGTCACAAACATAAAATTACATAGAACAGAACCACTTACAAAATAAACAAGGCTTAAAATTTGTATCAGGTAGTATCAAACCTGGATCAGGATTCCACAGTCCAACAAGTTCCTACTATTATGATCAAAAGATACTACCTAGAAGGGATTGTATACATGTTCCGGATTGAGTTTGCACAAATGGATGGCAAGATCGTAAGACTGTAAGATCTGGATAGGGATTTTAACAACTATGGATACAACTTAAGGGTATATGAGAGGAGGAAAAGCAAGGATTAACTAGATGTATTGTTATATTCAAAATCACACGAACTAATACATATGAACAGCCTAAGAATAAAACTTATATCCATTGAGTTCCACAATTTAAACACTAGCGCAATGGAGGAAATCCGGCAATTGGGAAAACACAGCTATTATCATGCATGCAGCCCCAAAACATAATAACAACTCAATTCTTGCATAGCTTGTGCACAATAACCCCATAACTCAAATGTTCAAGATCTCTCACTGCCATTCTCTCTATCTCCAAGGCTGCTTTGATCTTCTCCTCCACTGCCTCCAGTGATCCTGGGCCATAGAAGTGTCTGCCATCTTCCCAGAGGTCCACAATTGAATCTAATACCTAATACCTACAATTTGAAATATGGGATGAAGCACTTCTTCAACGGTCCCTGTCTTCCCAACTTGTTAGCCTGCTCTTAAGAATTTATGGGCCAGTAGGTGGGCAAGACACAATGGGCAGGCACGTTGATTTAGCAAACCAATGCCTTAAGCCGCTCAGCCATACTTCCAAGTTGTTCGGAATGGAATTTGGTGTGCTGGGTTTGGAAAAAGAACTATAGAAAGTCTTTTAAGTCTTATGTAAAATAAAAAATTAAAACCAATAAAATTCTGAAAAACCTTTTGCTTGTTTATATGTTAAGAATGCATAGAAGTGTCTGCCATCTTCCCAGAGGTCCACAATTGAATCTAATACCTAATACCTACAATTTGAAATATGGGATGAAGCACATCTTCAACGGTCCCTGCCTTCCCAACTTGTTAGCCTGCTCTTAAGAATTTATGGGCCAGAAGGTGGGCAAGACACAATGGGCAGGCACGTTGATTTGGCAAACCAATGCCTTAAGCCGCTCAGCCATACTTCCAAGTTGTTCGGAAAGGAATTTGGTGTGCTGGGTTTGGAAAAAGAACTATAGAAAGTCTTTTAAGTCTTATGTAAAATAAAAAATTAAAACCAATAAAATTCTGAAAAACCTTTTGCTTGTTTATATGTCAGGAAGATACAAGAGGAGGAGGGAATCCGACCTCACTTAATGGAGATACCTACCGACATGTGCGTGGCCTTTCAAGGTACTGAGACAGATAAATATAACAACTGAAGGCTTGGACATCTTTGTTGCTTCTTACAAAAATTTTTACTTTTATGGAACCAAATGGTTCTGGTAATGCAATAAGCTCTGATCGTGTATCCATGTTTTATCGTATCATGGAGTCGCGCTGGATGTTTGTTAATATATGTTTGATTTTCTAAACTAAAGTTTTCCCCATGTGCATTGATGAGCTCCTTTTTAATAGGAATTTTACTGTTTAATGTTGTCTCTTTTTAGTGTCTCATGAAGTTCTGAACTACATCTTAAATGTTGATAATTCTTCTGACTTTTTGGGACAAGGACATTGTATATCTCGATTTTCACAAAACCTCAATATTTTTTGGTAGTGACAACTATGTTCTACTCCATGTCTAGGGTTACAAATGAATTGAGCTATTCATGAACAAGCTCGGCTCGGCTCGTTTAGTAAACGAGCCGAGCTTGAGCTTGAATATTAGGCTCATTTAGTAAAATTAGGCTCGTTTTGTAAACGAGCCGAGCTCGAGCTCACATAAACTTGGCTCATTTATCTTTATTTAAATTATATAATAAATAATAGTATAAATACATTATTTATATATTAAATAATTTAAATAATATTTTTTATTTAAATAACATAAATAATATTGAAAAAAAAATTATCGAGCCGAGCTCGAGTTTCATTAATATTAACAAGCCGAGCCAAGCCGAGCCGAGCTCGAGCCCAGTTCCTTATTGAGCTGAGCTCGAGCTCAACAAACGAGCTTGATAAGTAAACAAGCCGAGCTCGAGCTCAGCAAAGCTCGGCTTGGCTCGGCTTGATTCGTTTGTAGCCCCATGTCAAAGAAGAGAATTAACCTAAACTCATTGTCTATTGATTTATATTATAAAAGACCACACACGGTAAATATAATAACAACAAAAGAAAAGGAAAAAAAATCATCCATTTTCAAATTACATTCAGGTTTAGCTCTATAACATCTGATCTTGTAAATGTAGAATTATTCTTGTCTCATTCAAATTGAAACCATAAATTTTTATTTATTTTTTAAAAAAAATTTCTTTTTGAGAAGTAGAATTTTATTACCATAAGGCATCAAGAAGATGCCAGCCAGATTACAAAGAAAGAAGGAGAAACCTGAAAAGGCTCTATACTATATAAGCTACATTCAAAAGACTGCATAGAGTCCACAAATTGATACCAGGAAGGATCCACCTTTCCCAATGTCTAGCTATACAAAATAGAATAAATAAATCAATCTACTCTTTATGTTCAAAATAGGTTCCTCTATACCCTTAAAAGACCTTTCATTTTGGCTCCCCCAAATAAGCCACATGACACAAAGTGAACAACTCAAAGCCAAGTCAATGTGGCATTGTCCATGGAGAAACCACCCGAAAGCCAAGTCACTATGGTATCTCCTACTATAGGTATGGCGCTAGCTAAGCTTGTAATTACTGTAGCTCCCCAAAAGCTCATCTGACCCCAAGGTGGTACGTATCCTACAAAAGCTGTCACAATCATTAATAGGAGGATTACAACTCCGAGACACCGAACAAATTCCCTAGGACTGCTATAACTCGCATGATATAGACCACGAAAAATATGAAGGTGAACCACAATGAGAAACATACTTTCCCCATTAGCATGCATATAACGGAGCAACCAGCCCCCTTCAACATCTCTCATGACGTGTTCTACGCTGTTGAAAGCTAGATCCACATGAGGTGTGTGATGCATAGCTAAAAAAACGCCAGTCACTATCTGAATGACTAAACAAATACCAGCTAACGGACCGAACCCCCACCAATAACTAAGATTGCTCGAGGTTGGATAATCTATCAAATGCTGATTAAGAGTGGAGGATATAGGTTGTTTAAGAAGAGAGAATCGTTGGTTTCTTATAGTCATTTCTCTTTTCCATCATGGCAACTCTTGTTCCCCCACCTTTTTAGCGTTCTGGGGCCCTACTAAGAATGTTTATAGTAACCTTTCTTCCACCTCCGAAAAGATGGAGGGGGTATACAGCTAAAGAAGCGTCAAAGGGGTCATCTTGGGTTACTGAAGAGTCGTCCGACTGCTCAATGACCGAATCAGAGAGGTTTTTATCGCTTTCTCTTCTCTCCAGCACTCTCGGACTGATCATCTTGCTGCAACAAAGCAAGCTTAGGAATGAATCTAATGGAAATTTAGGTTTCTGTCCGCTTGGAAGATTCTACTTTCCTATTCGGTAAAAGAGGGCAAAGGTGTGTGGGAGAAAGAATTCTAAAAGGAGAGAAGATTTCATCCACCAAGCGGGACAGGGTGCGACCCCTAAGCAATTGGAGGTTTTCGCTCATCTCTTGGGGTCCATATCATCTGAAAACTTTTCCTGTTCCATTAGCATAGCTAAGAATAAGATGACTCAGCGTCAAGAAAAGTAAGCCCCCTTTGCCTTGATTGAATTTGGCTTCACTGCGTCCTGAATCAATCAAAAAGCTTATTGATTTGTTTTATCCCATTTCATTTGGGCAAGAGGGAGGCTGTGAGTCACCTGGGCTACGGATTTGTCGGTTGGTTGATTCTCGAAATCACCTCTTGAGAAGAAAAAAGGCCCTCGGGTCCCGACCCACAAATGAATAGGAACTGAGGCGAGGGTCTTTCGAGGGGAAAAGAGGGATGGCGCTTTGTTTTGGGAGGGCCGCCTTGCGCAGCTTTGGAAAGGAGATAATTTCATAAAGTAACTCTCTCCAACCTTTTCTATCTATCCTTAGAAGTAGGGCGAGAGAAAGTAAATATGATATTTGCGTTGATTTTTCCAACGAAACTAAGCATTTTTTTGTCTTTATAATTCGGAAGGCTCAGTCCCAGACTCTGACTTCAATGATGGAAACAACCCCTGCACTCCGGTGCTCCAATGAACAACAGTTCTCCGCCTTACTATATTTAGAATAGTGGTAGATCCCTCAGGAGTTGCATTCGTAACTTAATGTTATGTTCACACGGGGATATTCTATCTTTCCAAGAGTACTACCCTGTACGTAGTCTATGTCTGGGGAGCATACTTGGCAGGAGATAGACACAGGCGGTAAAGAGATCCCCCACTTCGATTCCTGCCCAGTTAGCATTTCCGATCCGAGATAAGGGATTACTCCGTTAGGTCTTTTCGGTCCGGAGCCGGCCAGTAATGGACCTACTTACCTTGCTTGTAGACCAACTGCAGAGCTAACCCTTGTTCTATTGGTTTGGTGGTTGCTACCAAGACGATTTCTTTATGCCCATCAAAGGACCTCGAGATACTAATCCACGAAAAACGATACGAGAAATTCGAAAGAACTCATATACGGAACGAGGGCGACCCGTGAAAATACATCGGTTTCTTACTCGTGCAAAGGAACTATTTCTTGGAACTTGGACAACTTATAACGATGTTTGTCTCGCATATCACTAGGAAGATCGGGATCTTTACAAAAGGCTTTATAAAGCTTTCGTCTCAATTCATATTTAGCCGCGAGCAATCTACGTTTGTGATCTCGTATATTTCGCTTCTCCGACATCTTACTGAGTTTCCCCCTCATCTTTTTGCAAAAAGTCGCTCTACGGTGGTAAAGTCTCATCTTGTGTGTTGGCCGAAGTGACAATTGTCACATTGAACCCTCGAATATGTTCGAAGATCTCGAAATGATCTTCCAGTTCCGGGGAGAATTCGCAAAACTCCGTTTCCATCGAGAATTGAATGGAGTTTTCCTTTATTTCGACTGGAGAATCTAACAGAGACATTACTGTGGAGATTCTGACCAAAAAATTATACATTCCATGCCCTCGGAGAGTGCTTTGTCGTGCTAGGTCACTGACATATCCCTTTTTGTCTTTA